AAGAGTATTATAATCATGTGTTTATTGCACATGCCTGACGCGTGACCGGACAGGCCAAATATGACTTCACAAGGGGCTGTATATACATGATATAAGCATATATAGACACGAACAGAGCTAATGGGGAATTTGTAAGGTTTTGACCTCGTAGCAACAAATGTTGCACAGATGATTCTAAAATTTCTGAGATACATAAAACATATTACTTTACTTGGAATAAAGACCTGGAATAGACCTGAATGTTAATTAAGAAAAGTTTATTTCGATATTTCAGTTAGATTAACTCCTCGCTTTGATTTAGATAATGGCCCTCAAGAAGCAGATCACGTGATGTGTGATCACGTGACGAGGCATTTTTAAATTTTGATTCAAAATGCAGTCGCCACTATATTAAGTTGTAAAAACAAAAAGGACAAGGTTCTAAAGAGCTACTTTTTTGTTCCCTTCCCTTAACTTTTTAAGACATAATTACTTCAATTTGAATTCACCGCTACATACAGGTCATGTGCGCGCTTCGTGACCATTTGATTATTTATGTCTTCATTATCAAATTATCAAAGTWATGACCAATACATGTGGCAACTGCCAGAAAATCCTTGTGACGTGATATTTGACGTGATGTTTGATCATTTGGCTGGATGATAAATCAATCTATAAAAAAATGAAAATAAACAAAATGAAATAAACAAAATAAACATTTCGTTAGCACAATTGCTATTTCGCAAAAATCAAGTTTGTTCATCAGTTGTTTGTGTGCCATTCTTGTATTTGTTTTCGTTTTATTATTATTATTATTATTTTGTTTTGTTTTTGTTTGTTTCATCTCGTTTCACATTGTAATTTCTTACAAAGAAAAAAAAACTTAAGCTTCATACTTTTACAATTTTAGCTTGTTTTTTGCGATTTCTTTTCTAAATAGCTTTGAGATAATGAAGTGTAAGTCTTCCTTCATTTTTTCCATGTAATAGGATTAATTACATTAGTGGATTACTTGGACAATTCTTTTCTTTCAGACATTAGAAGGCGCTTAAAACTTACTCGCGACCGCTAGGAATCCTAGGTTTTGCAGCGTGGTTGTACTTTATTTATTTGATCTCTTCGTTTATATAATGGTTCGACTGCAGTTGTTGTTATTGTTGTGCTGTTGTTGTTGTTGTTGTTGTTGTTGTTGTTGTTGTTGTTGTTGTTGTTGTTTTGCTTTGTTACCTTTTTGTTTGTTTTTGGTATTATTTTTTAGTTTTTCTCATTATTAATATTTTGTGTGTCATTGGCGTGTTTATCATGTAAAAAATTCCTATTTTAGTTATTGCATTTCTAAAATAGTGTATGGATTCCGTCAAGTGTCGACTTTAGTTTTGAATCCCCTCTCAATCTTATTCTATCTATGTCTGTTTTGAAATACATAGCATTCTGGGATGTTCATACATTTATCATAGCATAGCCTGCTGAGCCGTATCAAACAACTGCTGAATCTTTTGCCGTATGTTCTATCTCGTCCCCAGKCCCTTATCTCTTCGTTTGGGTTTGGCGGGAATGGCATGGGAAGACACTGTACGAGCCAAGCCTCGAACGCATTTTTCTTGGAGTTGTCACTTCATTTCGATCGCCTTTTCTTTTTTATTGATGTACTTTTTTGGATATTCTGAGCTCACTAATGCGTTATGTTGTCATGTGTTATTGGGCAGTCATCTTCCAAAAAATGGACGACTTCAGATGCTATTAATTAATATCCTTCCAAAAATTACAACATGTAAAACACATAGTTTTTGTGTACAGACCTTCCTTTTATTCTTATTTTACTCAAACTTTAATCCCATTTTTGGTAAATTTGCCTTCACATACGAATGAATAGGTATGTGCAGCGACGCCATTCTCTTCAGCAAAGCATGATGGGATTTGTAGTCCTCGTACTTTTTCATGTCCGACAAAAGAGTTCTGAAAAGACGTTTTTTTGTTTTTGTTTTTGTTTTTGTTTTGTTTTGTTTTTTCTGTAGAATCGACTGTAGAAATACAAGCAGTTATGTCCTTCCTACAAAGAAAAATAATATAACAACACGGCTTTTAATTAAAGGAGATATTTTTGGGCCTTCATTGAAAAGGGTGCAAGGCCAACAACTCGGCTCATTATGATATGTACATATATGTGGTCTGAGATGGTGTAAGGTAAGATCATTCATTTACATCATTATGCTATATTGAAGCATAGTGGAACAAAATGGCACATTGCCTATTATTGTTTGTGGGTCTGTTTTGTTTTTAACTTGAAGGAAAACGCCCTATTATTGAAACACTTTAGAAGTGATGTACGCCTGGGATCTCTAACTACCAAATGGTAAACAAGGGTATTCACCCTGATGACGGACGGCAGGCAATACTACCAAGAATGATAATGAAAATAAATCAAAAATAAAAAGTTTGTTCAGCCTTGATAAAGCTTTTTTTGCCATTTAGAAAATTTACAATCCCATTAGACTTCGTATGACGATTTTCCCACCCGTCTGACATGAAATATGTGAGTCGATAAAACTGGGGGRAAAACATTTATTTAACGTGTCTGCAGCGTCCYAAACGCGATCCAAGGAGGCCGATAGCTATAATAATACTGGCGCCATTTCAGAATTAAATCATTAGTCACGAGTTAAAGATAAGTTCGATAAACTCTCGCCCTAGCTTATACTTGAATGTATTTGTTTTCGTTCAATAATATTTCACTCTTTGAGACATCCTCCCAAATCGTCTTATTGGAGATTTCTTAACGGAAAYTTGTCTTAAATCAACTTTAAACAAGTCAAAAAGCGTCCTTAAAGTGRGCAACCAAGAAAACATACTGGTGGTAAAGTTTWGAGATAGAAAGATAGAACGTGTTTTTGTTGAATGTTTTTGTTTTTTAATCAGATAGTATCAATGACGCGGGAGTCACTTTTAATCASAGTGGACAGAAGAAAGAAYCGTTTGACGTAATATATRAAGAGCAGATTTAGATGGTCTGTCGATAACTTTAAATAAAATAAACAGTGATATCTCGAGATGAGCAAATGATTGGTGTCAAGATTTGACATTCGACATTTCGAGTATGTTTTTTTCGTCGATCCAAAGAACAAAGCTCTATCGCCGCCATGTTGGATGAATGAACAGAGAAGAAAAACTATGAAGAATGCTTTGGTATTTACATCAAACATGGCGACTATGGAAAGGTGTAACCCAACAATTTGTTAGCAGTATTTMTGTATATAGAAAGTGAAATAGTAGAATTTAATGAAGAAAAATAATTTTCTTAGCACAACCGCAGTATTGTCGTGCATCAGTAATGGCGTAAACGTCACATGAGAGAAGAGGCCTTAGGTGTTCCACAATGTTCTCTTATTGCTTTGGCAAAGGTTAATTTACTTGTCCTGTTCATGTAGAGTTCCGTACGGTGATACAACGGAGAACTTGACTACCAACGTCACGTTAGTATTTTCATGTCTTTTTTTTTTCTCCTGGAAGGTTAGACGATTTCATCTCGTCAATCAGCCCATTATCAGACCGAGATCGCTCACAAATTTATAACAAATGTTAAACTTATCTTATTCATTCGGTACAATTTAAGCAATATAATACAAATAGATATTATACAAAACATATGTTTACAAGGCATTTAGAACATCCCGGAATAATTACTCCAGACATCTTCCCTTAGAGAATGATGCGCYCTTTGTAGCACCAGATTATTGCAAGGCACTTCTGGGACATGAATAGTGTTCGTTGGCACATGCGTGGAAACTATAGGRGCGTGCGCATGTCCGTAACAAGTACCGCTGACTGGCAGCATTGAAGTTTCGGGTGTCCATTCAATAGCAGGGCTTATGTAGTGGGGGATAGTCGGGTGGCTAATCTGCCCGTGAGGGGGTGGGAAGTACATCGGTGTCATGTAAGTTGGTGATATGTCGTCTTCGCATTCAAAACTGGAACGATGTTCTCTGTCGGCTGAGAGGTGGCGCCTTTGGTCCTTGCGAAACTTCGCTCTTCTGTTTTTGAACCAAACCTTTGAATAGACAGAAAATGAACTTTGTGTTACATGCGTCAAGATGCGTGTTCGTTCGTATCAGTGCAGCGACTGGCACGGACAACATTCACAGCACGACTACAGAACAGCGCCTGGTATTGGCGCCATGGAGAGAATTGGATGGAAAAAAGATCACGAATGAAAACATTGCATACATCAGCACTAAAATGTCATGCTTTTTATCAATAAAACGAAATCTGAACAACAATATTATAAAAAACAAAAAATATCCAAGCCTTTGAAATTATGAATTAATCAAGCTAGAACTACAATACCATGTACTACAACGTCTTGCTGGGATAAAAAAATCGTAAGGTCTTTAAAAGGCGTGTAAGCAACAAAGMAATGTTTTCATACTTTGAAGAGCTCGTGACACATCATTGTGGAACAAAATCGTAAATTTAGTGCGCAACAGGTTACTCTTATGGAACCTGGTCGGCCAAGTGCGAGATGTTCGTGGATAGACCCCGGCTGACCCAAATGAGTCAGAATGCTGGGTTTACCATCTAAAATACTTCCAATACGCATGATAAAGACGTTTCAATAATCATAGTTCGTATTAACTACGCAATAATAAATCAAACAGCATAATACATATACACTATTATTTTCAAGGAGATGAAATATTCCACCAATAGAGTTGAAGTTACTCTACCTAGTGGAGTACCCTTGCGAGTAGTTTTTGCGCCAAATGTTTAAATCAACTCGGAAAGAGAGTCAAAATTACTCCAAAGAGGTTCAAAATTGCTTCTAGAAAAGGAGTCAAAATTACTCCTCCAGGTGTAGTCAAATCTACTCCTGAAAAGGAGTTATATGGTGCATTTCTTAACTCCTTTTTAGAGTTACCGTATATCAACTTCTTGAAAATAACAATGTATTGTAGCTAGGAACCTACTTGGATTCGCGCCTCTTGTAGTGTGGTTGTTGCAGCAAGCTGTTCTCGTACCTCGACATCGGGATAGTGCGTTTTGTTGAAGACTTTCTCTAACGCAGCAAGTTGCTGATGTGTGAAGGCTGTTCTCGTTCGACGATTTCCTCKACGRCTCTTTTCTTTCCTTGCTTCAAGGATAACATCTAATTATTAAAAAAGAGATTCATAAATATAACTTATYTCAAATCGCACGAAGCTGGTAGGTTTAACGGTATATTTGACCAGTAATTCGCTCTATATGCCATAATTGTATAATATTCAAATGTGGAATATTTCAAGCAACAACGAGAACTAGTTATTAAAATGAGTGTTGAGTCATTTATTTTGTACATCGGCAGACGATGATAATTGACAAATCACGACATTAACCCAAATTTAAACGATAGTTGAAAAATCCATATATGAATAGGATAATTAGAATTGAGTATGATCGCGCAAAATTTCCAACTTATCAAAAAATATATAGAATTGAAGATTAAGCGCCTAAGGAGCGCCTACTCTCATAACAATCTTGTAAAATACACGAATCTATCATTAGTTCTTTCTGTCTGCTAAATAATCTGTTGAAACTTCTCTAGTGACTGATTTTATTGTTTCTCGTGTTAGGTTTTGATGCGGCGCTTTGAGCAGGAGAAATAGGGTCACGTGACCCTTATGCGCAAATTCAATCGCATTTTGACTCATTTCAGTCTTTCAATTTAGTAATGTTTTCGTGTGATTGAAAAAGATGGAAAAAGTAGTGGAAAACTATAATGAAAGAGAATACAAAGGGGGAAAAGCACAAAGGAAAACAAAAACAGTTTAAACAAACCCAGTTATTTGTGATGATAATTCTTCTTGGTATTTTGCATTTTAGCCCGCAGCATAATTAATTAGCATTGACACTAGCTAGTCACTATACCATATCCAGTAACCATATGTTTCTTTATCAAAATAGAACTATAAGAGAAAATATAACATTTGTCCGTACATGCTGACTGCGTGTATCATGCCTTTGATGTGTTCGCGGCTTATAGTTCTAGTTTCTAATYGTTTGCCAAGGATTAACAGATAAAACAGTCATGTCTGTTAAGCAGTGATTATAAACACCGCCTCAGGCATAGCGAAGGAGTAGATCAAAGKCAAGGAACTTAACAGCAGGATAGTAGACCTGTAATGGCCACGGATACYTCTTTACAAGTCAACACTTCATAAGTCATCTAGACACATGAAAGACCTGACTCGCTGTGTGCGGCAGACCGTCTTCACTAAGGCTTTATAGAATCATTACAAGACTCGAAATCAAATTGAAAAAATGTGGTTGATATCTAGTATTGTCTCGTGGTTTCTCTGTTTCTCGCAGAACTAAAACAACGTCTGTTTTATTGTTCTTCTTACTAAATTAAATACTCGTTGATAAATAGATTAAATAAATTAAGTATAATGAAAGTCTACTATTTATTGAAATGAATGCGTCTAATTCGAAAAAGTTGTCACAGAAAAAATTGAGATTGCAAGACCGAACGGAATTGTGGGTATGCATTATATACGGAGAGGACGATGTTCTATCATYTGCTGAAGGACAAGGGAATTAAACCATACAATCCATTAATAAACGTTTTCCATTTTRAYAAAGCACCTTAAGATCTACGACGACGATGGTTGAAAGATTTGTTGTGGCTACATTGTATTTAAATATCAGCATACGTTGTTTGGTAGCAACCGAGTTGCAAGATCTAGTCGGTACTAGTTTCATAAAAGCAATACTCTGATCTGAGCGAATATTGAGACACTGGATTAAYTTGAGGTGTGTCATGCTAAGTTTATTTGAATACAGTCAAACCATTATGATTAACAATAGAACTTCAAAAACTGTAAATCTCAAGTATACCTGAGCAAGCATTCGGTTCAATCTCTTATCAGTCTTATAAAATCCCTGATTTCTGCGTCATAAGAATATAGCGAAGATCCACATAATGTGACTAAATATTTCTCTCTAAATGCATGCATTGAAATACCTCCATTAGGTAAACAAAGTTAAACGAAAATCTACCAATAAGGAAGAAATCTTCAAAATTGCTTACAGACATCTGTCCACTTTATAACGCATCTAACATATGTTTCAGTACAAATTCACATATAAATGGATATAATGGATAATTTTCCTGGTCGAAAATTCAAAAGTAATAGTTGCGCGCTGCTCTCCATCGTTTAGAGAATCGTTAGGAAACACGGTGCATAGCGGAGCTTCGTGATACCTCTGACGCGATCTAAAAATGTAATCATAATGGACTAGGGTTTTTATGATGCGCAATGGGTTAGGCACAAACACGGGCGTGTATTCTGAAAAGTCATCTATGGATATCGGAGCGCGCGCGTGAAACTGATTTTACTTGAATGCGGTCCACTGTTAGAACAAATGGAAAACTATCACTGCTATTCCTGTACTACGTATTATGGATCAAATACAGAGAGAAAACATGTGCAATTTGCTTTGCTATCGACATATTATTTCTCTAATGTGTCTCGAAGCCTCATTTTAAGAACATAATCCTGCAGKTAATCTGACTGCCGTTTCGTTCTATTCCTCCCCAATAAGAATTTGAAGACTGGCCATCCCGCTTCATTCTTAATTGAATTTGATAACTTAAGAAAAAACCTGTCTCCGTTCGGTCTCTTTAGAAAGTTTTCAATTTAGTTAAGCCTTCTTAGTGTTTAAACATTCTGTACAAACATTTTATTGAGTGCACACGACCGAATTTAAGTGGGATGAAAAAGTCAAGATCAAGTTCCCATTAAGTTACAATAGCTTATAACTCGGCTTYTGAACATTTTGTGGTTAAAACAGATTCTTGAGAATGATCCCTATAAACAGGTTCTGTAGCTACAAAGCGAAACGCAGTTGAATTTCTGTTGAACCTTGATGTAGTATCAATTTTCGTCACATCGGTCTCTTTGCGCCACAAGAAATAATTAATGAGCTGTCTGAATTTCCCCACATGTGTCATTTAAGAACTTTTCCTATACGGATAATAGCCAACAATGGCCTAAATTTGTTTAAGATGTACCAAACGAAGTCTTAGCAAACGAAACATGACTTATCAGTCGAATGACAACTTTTAAATAAGCACAAAAGTGATAAAAAATTAGGGCGAAAGTGTGAAGTGTGTGCCAGGCTAAGTGGGTGTCAGAAGCATGCGATTTATTGTAAGTTTTATGTTAACAAACAAAATCCCAATTCTGGACTCCAAGTGCGCGTTTGTTAAAGCAGATTATCTCCGATGTCGTTAAGTTTAGTAATTCTGGGTTAATACATCTTGAGAATTACTAGGATAAAGGACTTGATCTATTTATTGAACCCTGTCACTTCCAAATTGTGCACATCAAAAAAGCCGTGTTTGCAAATGCTTTAAGTCAACACAAGTCAAGATCTCCGTCGTTTCGGCTTTAAGTGTTTAAAATACCTTTTATAATCCTAGGTACACATAATAAATTCCTGGGATTGATAGTGTGGACAGCAGAGAAAATGCCTAATGTAGTTCACGAGCGAATCTTAAAACGATTAACTCTATGAATTTATTTACGATCATTTTCGATGTTCAGTAGGTTTTCTCCGCACTAATTTGTTCTCTTTGTATTCATATATCTCTGATACTCTTCAGCAGGCGCAAATTAGTCAGYCAATCTTTCAGCRGTGAAGACATWCTGAGTGTGCTTTACCGAATYAAAGAGAAAGAAAGTCGATCAGCACGCGATCTGGCCAGATAAAGACCGAGAAGTCTSTTAAATACCTGATGAAGGGATTAGCACGGTTAAGGCTAGTATAAACTAACCCACACCAAACTCTTTGCACCGTTATTTAAACTTCTTTTTCTTAAACTATAAAGAAACCTWCTTTGAGGAATTATGCTTATGAAGAAAGTTGTCAGATSTTGAACGCGTCCCGAGCGTCCGTGAACCATAGATAGATAGGATCTCTACTGGCGCCAGGAGTTTCATTGAATTAATTCGCTYTAGTACAAGGCTGTTTTGACCCAGTATTCTCATATTTTGGGGTGGCTAAGCTGAACTATCTGATAAGAATATCCTGTTTATGCAATTCTTTGRTGAATGGTCTGCAGATTTCCTGAATGTTTCTYGTTAGATAAACAATTGMCTTTTCCAATGGAATCTCTCAAAAGAGAATGGCCTCAATTAAGCAAAATAGCGACGCATAATAGCTCTCTCAAAATCAATTAATCGTAAAAAAGGTGCGAAATTGTCCACTTTTGTACAAAATCTCCTAAACAAATTACGCATTAATTGAGTGTTGTATTAACACTTAGAGGTTGATTCTGCATGAGTGACACGAAACCAGCTAATCATTCCCATCTCTTGACTCGAATTCCTTTTGAGCTYTTGTGTATCATAACCTAAARCAAATCGMATTTAGCCAATGTTCTCTTAATAATGGTTTTATTTCACTCGGTTTCGCCGAAATCTTCACAGTTAAGTGACTAGAACGCGTCGTCTTTCAACAAGGAACGATTCGACACGAAAGATCATCAACTATGCTTTCAATACATGCGTATATTTATTRAGGTTTTCAGCAGAGTGTTAAGGTATTTGCTCCCTACATTGCTCCACAACCCATCCTGACCGTTACATGTAATTCTGGTCATAAACGGATGCGTTAAAGTGACACATGACTAATGCGCTTTTCCAAGATCAGCGGGCTTATAGACTTGCTCTGTAATCGTTTCATAACCAGTGWACATCTCTTTGTATACGATCATTAAATAAGAGACATTTTCAAATTATTTAAGCATACCTGCAAGTTTGGCAGCCAGGGATAGCGCGGCCGTGGCTTTAGACGGTTCTTCGGGTTCTTCTCGGGATTYAGTGGTAGACGCAGTGCTTRCCAAAGTAGGTGATGAATCCTTTTTCAGGATGTTTTCAATCGAAAATGGGTTGGTTTCCATCTTACGTGATTATGACGAGATCTCCAATTTGTGCTCACTGGCTTACGATAGCAGTTCACACTGGTCSTATTRACTCTAGTGCCCACTGATACCTGTGTCAGAATATCGAGTGTTTCTTTAATAAACTCGATCACCGGTAGGTTAACGTAATCGCACCCACCCGCCTGCTTTCGTAATCGCTTTAACGCATCCATGTGTGATAGTCATTAATACAGTACAGATGACATTGAAAAATGTGTTCCGGCATACCTGATGAATCCGTTAAATAAACCTCCAGGTTTTTAGTATTATTCCTTGCTAATCCATTGTCCATGAGTTGGGAGTATTGTCTACCATATATTTGCATTTCGCAGTTCAATGTGTGTTTAACTAACAAGGGCGCGCAAGCATCTCGCCTCCACGCGTCCAGATGGTTGCCTCATTGTTTTAAGTATATTGTTAATGAAAAGCCGTTAAGGTGGTTAAATGTCTTAAATGGTTAAACGGAGGACTATCAGTCCGGTTATATTTAAATGATATACTCTCGTAGAAGATGGCTAGTGAATCACTACATCATCTGAGACGACAATAGTAGATAACAATGAATTCCATGAAAGTCTGACTATCTAATATACATTAAGGTCATTCTCTTGAATTAAACTTTGAACAAGGGATTTGTGGTGTGGTATTCTAGGACGTCATCAACTGTTTAGTCCCTATATCCTGCAACACTTAATGTATGTTTACATTAAATGATTATTTGTTGACTTAGCGCGCTCCTTGATTCATAACAAACAATACACGTAGCTCTCACATGTGGGTGTTTGAAATAAGGTGGAACTCGTTTTCTTAATCTCTCTGCTGCCTAATTGTCGGCTAATTATGACAGAGCTATGYGAAAGGCTAGTTATAGATGTTTAACGTTCGGTCAAAATGGGACCAACATTTGAGTAGGCAGTGACATGGTTGCAAGAGGGGGCAAAGAGGGCACTGCGTCCATCATCTACATATTAAAATAGTCAATAGATTTTGACGAAATGCTCGACTCAAATACTTTGGAGTATTTTATTGAATTCGTGCGTAAGTTTGTGATGTGCACACAGTGTGTTTCTAGTGCTTCACATGGATATTGTAATGGGCTGCGATAAGGTACGTCTCCACTCCGGAAACCACTCCATTCTAGCTTATCTTTTCAACTTCTGTCCATTGAAACTAGACTTGAATGCGTAGAAAAAATGTTACGATAAGACACCCGTGGGTGGGTGGGAGGGGAGAGAAGGATATTCTAATGAAAATACACCATATTTYTTTAATCTAATTGGAATGCTTTAAAGTAAACAATTTTAGAACTTTAAGCCTTGCTAATAATATAAAAATCCTAAACTAGAAGTAATGTGGATTTGCTATATGTGGAAAAACTAAATGATTTGGATTCGCGGAGTGAAATCGTGCTAAATTGTAATGTAGATGTGCTCAGTAGAGCCGCACCCCTCAAATCAWTTYATTTTAATTGGCCCGCTTTAGTACCGGAAAAAATTTAATTAACACGGCTTACTTGACAACACATTATAGATAAACGACGTGGTAGTTCTGTTTGTGTCTCTAGTTAAACTACACACTAGAAATAGTATAAAGAAACGTTTGCAAATGTTAAAAACATGCTCGTATATATGAGATCTATGAAGTATTAACCGTGATTAAACCCTACTTGGTACATTAATCCCCAATAGARAAAACTCGATTTTGACGGAGTAGCTTCTTTTATCGATCATCGATAGTCAAACTGGCGACTTAACCAGCCTTAGGAAATGAAATCTGAATTTATCTTGATCTGGTCTGCAGAAAGATACAATTAGTGACTCAATAGAAACGTAATGACATCAAATCATCGAGCTCTAATTATCGCCATTCAAGATTAGCAACGAAAACAAGGCACGTAATCGCAGTATTAAGCGATATTTTTCGTCCAATAGCACGCACATAACACGCCATTATACGGAAACACTTGCTTTGATCAAACAAACAGCTATTTGCAGCCGATAATATCGCGGTATTCAAATAGAATTTAATTGCTCTTTTTGTTCAACTATATGATCTATTTCAAARATTTCCTCGTAAAGGAAATGAGGTTTCATTTTATCGCGTATTTGACGAGACAGTGTCGGCTTCACTTTTAAAGATATCAGTTGAAAATTGCATGGAATTTGTTTAACTTTTCTTTCTACTTCCAGTTTGTCTGAAGATGGGCTGCGCGCTTTTCAAATTAAAGTGGATTTAGAGTTGAAAATTTAAGGTATTTCTACAGGGAGCTGAGAAAGTACTACCTATGCTCACATAGTATATTCTAGATAATTGCGTGAATATAGTAAACTTGTTACTTAAACTGATAAAAATGACAGCTTATCAAGGTTGATTGAGATCACGCTCTTGGACCATGATACAGTTCTTTGTATAGAACAACATGATACTCAACGGAATAATAGGGACGCCGCCCGAGTTATCCAGCACTCCATCCATTGACGATCAAGTCAAGATGCTTTACTCCTCTCTATGTTCGCCATTTTCTTCAAAAACAAATTTTGGCGTAGTAAAAGAGAAGTTGAAGATGTGAAAATGTCAAATCAAATAGCATTTTATAAATAGTTTACGGAATGAGCTCAAGGTTAACACGAACAGCTTGCTTTCATTATAGTTGCATTTTTGCCATCTTTTCTATGGCGCGTACACCGTTGTGAGCTTTTGCCAAGCAGTATTACTAGAAACAAGTTCAGTAAGAGAGCTGTAGATWTATCTCGAGTATGAAATCTAAGTAAAAGACACCCTAACTACGCCAGCCGCACGTCACGGAAAAACTGTTTTAACTTAAACATCCTAACTGAAAAGAAAGCCCAACGTTCATTCACAAGATTTCTGATGATAAGGGGAGTAAGATAAAGTTTTATGTTTTGGGAAATAGTGGTATGGTTATGGTTGAAGAATTCACGCTGTGYATCCGTGAACTTCTATTAAGCTTCAGTGATGCCAATTAATAAATGTTAAACATTCAAAAGAGGTGCTAACGAGTTAGAATTATTTCACGGATTTATAGTGTGCACTCTTAGATGGATAACGTAAATTTATAACACCTCAGTTTATGTGCATTGCTATTCCAGATAGTTCCTGCTAATTTGCAACTACTATTTCTTTCACATCTACCTTATATGTAATCATAAACAGTCAAATAACTAAGAGCTATAATAATCAATATATTGTATACTAAGATGCCGTACGAATACGCATTCGACGATAGATCGAACATATGCCTTATTCTTATCGACTAAGACTAAGAATAGTTTTAACCGATTGCAAAAAAGCCTGGTGGTAAAGAACTGGTTAATGCATCGTCACTTCAATTTGTCACTTAGGTTCTTGTTCGATTACTTGTCCAGGACAATATGAAAACCGAGTTTGAGGACAGCGAAGCTAATCTGTGTTTTGATCCGAAGATTGTCTCCAGTTTCGCTGATTTTCCTCGACTTCTGAAACATGGTCAATGTTGAAGTGCTAGTTAGTGTGTCGGTCTGAATCTCCCCTTAGCAGGCCAGGATATTTGGGATTTAGCTCATGTCCAGCTAGAGCGATTTATTGTTCACTTTTTCAATGGGTCGTGTTATAGTTTTATCTCAGTGCTCTCGAGCATCAACACCGAACGTGTGTGATGAAAAAAAAGTCTATGCTGCTTGTGTGCAGTAGGCAGCAGTACAGTGGCGGATTAAGCGGGTTCATTACGGCGGCAACCCCTAGTCCCCAATACACCACATCGGCCAGTACCTTWAGTGGTGAATCCAGGTATTTCATATATCGACGTCCCTTATGATGCAGTGAGTAAGGCCCGGGCMAGTGAGACTAATCGTTTTTATAGCCATTATGAAAAAAATGTTTACCGGGTGCGTACTGGAATGCAGACCGCTGAAATCGGGGAAAAAAGCAAAATGGAAATTTGGATCCATTTTTATTTTTCTCTCTAAAATAAGAACTTCAATCAATCGTGCTTTGATAAACATCGTGAATAAATTATTGCTCATGTACATTTTATTTGATTCGCAGTCACTTTTATCCTCTGTACTGAACATAATCCTTAGCGAAAAAAAAAACAATAAAATGTTTTGATGTGACGTCATAATGAAATAGGGAAATTGATATTACCTACGAATGAGGTTATTTTTCAGAAATGATCGATACTTTAAAGGACCATAATTAACAGGCATTCAATGCGGTCATGTTTCAAAAATTCCATACATCAGTACATGGAAAATAGTTTTCCATTCGAAAATCCTTCAAAACGTAATAATTATATATAATTAATCATAATTATAATGAATTTATTAAACCGTTAATTAGACCGTAGTTATCATTGAAGGAGGCTCGAGTCAGAAGC